AAAAAAAAAAGACCACATAACCACAAATTGTACAAACTATTGTTTAATTTTGGGCATTATTGTTTTGGGTGGGAACGGGGCCACCGTGGCTAATGTATTGTATACATGACGAGTCTGTAAATGTGGGTTAGTTTTGTCTTGCATGTGAGACCTTTTTTACTTAAGTTTTTATCACAAATGGTTCCTGAAATTGAGTCACCCAATCAAGATCGTCTTTAAAATTGAAAATCGAACAATGTAGTCTCTGAAAATTGCTGTTGCAAATCAATGTGATCATTCTGTTAAAATTTCTGTTAAGTACTGATGTGGCACATAAATGGGTTCTACAAATTTAATTAAATATTATTATGTGAATAAAAAGCATTTAAATAATAATAAATTGTTATTTTTTATAATTAAAATCTTTAAAAAAAAAAGAGGAGATGATTGAACACTGATCATCATCTTTTTCCCTTCCTATTCACAGAAATGATGAAATTGGAAGGAGAAATCCTAAACTTTTTCGTGGTGTGGATTTTGGTTGTGGCATCACTATCCTACTTTCACACTGTCGGCAAACTCACTTCTCCGGGCACCACCAGACTCCTCGCCATCCTACCCGTCGCATTCTTCTTCTTCTACCTCCCTCTCAACCTGACCACCATTTTTCTCGGTGGCCCGTCCTCTTTCTTCCTCGCTTGGCTTGCCTATTTCAAGCTTGGGATTTCTCCTTCCAATGTCATCATTTATGTGAATATCTATGTGAATAGGAGGGGAAGAAGACGATGAACAGTGTTCAATCATCTCCTCCTTCTTTTTAATTTATTATTTAATATTTTTTATTCACATAATAATATTTAATTAAATTTGTGGGACCCATTTATGTGCCATATAAGCACTTAACAGAAATTTTAACGAAATTGTGACGGAATGATCACATTGATTTGCAATAGCTATTTTCAGGGACTTCATTGATCGATTTTCAATTTCAAGAACCATCTTGATTAGATTGATTAATTTCAGGGACCATTTGTGATAAAAACCCTTACTTAGGCTTTTTCTCACTGAATTTTATTCGGTTAAATTTTTTTTCAGAAGCGGTTTCTTTGTAACATGCATGTTGATGTTTATGATTTTGAATGATGTTTGAATGAAATCCAATTTATACGGTAAGAAATTCCCTTCAACCATACTACATACAGTCTTTACTTATTTAATATACATATATCATGTATTTATTTTTTTTGGTCGATAATCTACCATACATTGTTTTTACCTACCTATATTTTATAGATATAGATATGTTACAATTGTTTTTTGAACAAACGATATTATCTATACTAAGGGATGTGGGAGTGGGCTAAGCCTCACAATAAGCTAGTAATAATGTTGCTCAAATTCACATTTGGTGAGTATTGAACTTAAGATTTCTCACTTCTAAGTGAAGAGGAATACCAATATTAGATCGTAGTACTAAGTAGTGATATAGATATGTTAGAATTGGAAAAGAATCCTTGCCGGATCCTTTTCCTAGGGATCCTGTAATGGTGATCGTTCATCGTATACCATGCGGTCTGTTTTCGTTAGGTACTATTTATATGTAATTTTAAATTTTAAATTTTGAAATGATTTCTGACTGTACGATGTACGATGCATGATCACGATCACGGAATCCTAGGATCTCCAAAAAAAAAGCGATGATCCTTTTCCGTTGGAATTGGACTCAATTTAAAAACATCTTGAATTTTTGGACCTGGATTTGACTGCCCCTTGTTTAATTTTGTTCTAAGGTTATAACTGACTGCCCCTTGTTTAATTTTGTTCATTATTACATAGAATTGGAAATAAACGAGTGGCATGGAAATTTCCCGATATAAGAGTTGATGCATGCAAAATGGCAATAAATTATTCAAATATTAGATTGTTTATGCATCCAAATGCATTAAACAAATCGATTATATGAGTATCAAATAACATGTTTATGAAGAATTATTCATTTTTGAACATTTGGATGATTTAAAGAACTTTGATTCAAATGATTATTTTTGTTTGTATGGTCTTTAAATGAAGATCACAAAATTAAATCATTTCGATTATATGGAAATATGTCATTCGTAAAAGGAGAAATACGTGCATTATGCCCATGTTTGACGTTATACATATAATAAAACGATATTAAACATGAAAATTCCACTAAGCCACAAAATAATCATTTATAATTAAAAATCAAATCGTTATTTATGAAAATTAAACTAAAGTCTCACTTACAAACAAATAAAACAACCTTTTGACCGAAGCATAATGATAGTGACAATTCTTTAATTCACGTACATTCAGATCGCATAGTGCGGGTCACATTTTGGGTTGGTGGGAGGGAGGTTAGCCATTTTGCAGTTGAAGGCCCTAGAAACAATTTTGTGGTGTATAATTTTCCGAAGTGGGTTTAACTTTTTTAGTTGAAAGGAAATTTCGAGGACAGATAGAGGTACAAACAATAACATCGGAAGCAGACTTGTACTTGTATGGTTCTCGGAAAAAGGTTGCACTTTTATTATTATTGTTGACACGACTAAACTTTATATTACATTTTGTCAAAGGAAAATTACACTCATGGAGACTATAGTTTTTCCCCACTAATTTTTTCAATTACTTTCATGACTAGATTCTATCGTTGTGGGATGTAAGATGAGTTCTCTAATAATCCACAATATAATATCCGGTTTTTCAAGACTATTTTATACTTAATGACGTTGTTATAGTTTTATTAGCAAATACACCGTCTCATCTTTTTTATTGAAGAAAAATTATGGTTGGATAAGTCTTCATCAGTTTGTACTACTGGGTAATTTGGTTTTATATTCATTAAATAGACAAGTAAACAAAAATGGTATTTCTCAATTCAATCATTAATTACTGTTCATTAATTTTATGTATTATTGAGTAGTCAGGACTATTGAAGAATAATATCGGTCCTAATAGCCGTGGTGAGTCAAATAGTAATATTCCTTCATAATGTCATAAATAGATTCAACTTGAAATGCTAGTTTTCTTTTGTTGTTTAGTGAATCGATTTAGGTTGTTGTACTAAAAGTAGGAAGCAAATGAACCGAATAGCGAACATGTAGTAATATAAAGGATGTATTAAAGGGAAATTCAAATCCATGTTTCTAAGAACAGAAAGGAAGACTTGCCCTAGCCACTATAGCGACCCCACCCCCAACTCTAGCTCTCAACAACCATAAAAATATGACATCTCTTCTCCGAAAAAAAAGAAGAAAAAAAAACAAGATGACATCTCTTCTAAGGTGATGTCGCCTTGTTAATTTCACGAAAAGAGCCTTTGTTAATTAATTAACTCATGTTTCTTGCTTCTACATAGTCTTTGTATTATATTGATCAATTTCTATATATATTAACATTTGGATAGCTTCCTGTATTAATATTTTTTTTAACAAACAATATTATTTACACTAAGAAGAAGGCAGTGGGTTTAGTCTCACAATAGGCTAGCAATAATGTGGTTCAAATTCATCTTTGGCGAGAATCAAACCTAAGATCTCTCACTTACAAGTGAAGAGGAATACCACTAGACTGTAGTACTAAGTGGCAATACAAAGATGTTATGGGAAGGGCACAAATATCGTTTGGGATTTCTATCAAACTGGAAGATTTAAAAAACTTTTGTTCTTCAACGAATTACACTTATAATTCTTTAACTTCGTACTGTGTCAACTTTAAATCCATTAGATTGGTAACTAAGCAAAATTAATATTCCTCAATTTAATCATGAATGTTCATTTTCTATGTATCTGAGTAATCAAGACTATCAAGGATGATAGTAATCTCTCAACAACCATATGTTTACTTTTTCCCTTCATACATAAGATGACATCTCTTCTAAGGTGACGTCGCCTTGTGAGTAATCTATGAACTTTATATCCATTATATGTTTTGACAACCATACAGAAGGTGACATGACCGGTGGCAAATTGCGATACCATAGCGACGTTATCTAAAATATCGATAATAATAGATGTCAAGTGTAAAAAAACATAAAAAACTGACGTTGTATTTAATGCTAGATACATATTATTCTATTTAGTTTTATAAACTCAAAACAAATTATTGTTAAAAATGAATAATCTGTAAATTATGTATATATCTATAAACTAGATATGAATTGTTGTTCACAATGAACTATAAATTATGTAAATTATAATACAGTGGATTATTATACATAAGTACAAACAAAACTATGAAAGCAACACTGCACTTTTACTGAAAGTTAGATGAAACATTATACACCAATAGAATCACTGGCGGATCCATTAAGGGGCAAGGGGCAGGGGGGTCAATTGACCTTCTGAATTCTAGGGAATCTTCATAAATAACTTAGTGTTGCCCTTTTAAAGGTTGGAGTTGTCGTTCAAGTAATGAATTTTCTCAATTGGATGGAATTGGTAGTCTGACAAAAAAATTGAGGAGACGGAGAGGAATAGAGTATATAATCATGTGTATTTGCTAATTACATTGGATTTGATTCTACTAATTGCTATGCTTCAGTGGAGTGAACCTTTTCCGCTATAACTACTGTTAAAAGTTCATTGCGTAACCCAATGGGAGATCAATGGTTGAGTAATATCATGGTGGTTTATATGGAGAACCATATTTATTCTTCTATTGATAATGAATCTATAATGTAGCGTTTTAAAAAAATGAAGACGCGTTGTAACTTGTATTGTTATTTGTTCTATAAATTATGTCTGATGGAACTATGGTTTAATTTTTAAAGTTATTATATGTCTAAAAAATGTTTGTGAACTTTTACTCGTGACCCTCCAAATCATTTTTGCTAGATCGGCCACAAAATAGCATCATGTAGTCTTTATCTTAAACCTACAAGTGAAGTTTTTGGAACCATCAATAATGTATGAAAATTAAAAAAATAAAAAAACAAAACAAAGTTTCATCATTTCAACAAGATGAAAATAGATATAACTAGAAATACATGAATTTTTGTTTTATATATAAATATCGTCAAAACTTAAAAGCACCACCATCATCTCATATGAGTGTATTAATCATACTACTAGTTGTACAGAGACTACTAAGAGAAAGCAAGAAGAACAAGACGAGATGAAAATCCAAAGGACATAAAACGATTAATTTTCACCATTTTTTCAATTCTTACACAAAGCATGAGTTATCAAACTGCAGAGGTTCTTTAGTCCACGGACCATCAAAACTATATTTGTCTGGATCTGCAGCAATATCAGTGTATGGCCCCCAGATAGTGCAGCAATATCCTTGTCAGACAGCCCCGTTCCCTCCAATGTGGCGCACCTATTATCAGAAGATAAAAGACACCGACAAGAAATTCAACTTCTATCAACATTTCCCAAACAATTTTACTGAAAATGATACACAAGCAAGCATGAAAACTTGTCATAAATCTTCAGCATTCTAAGCACATTAAGAAAGCTAAGAGATGGGGACAAGTGGGTTGAGTTTTAACATGGAGTAGCTTATAGCAATGCCATGGAACCATTTGAATAAAGAGCTCGCAACCAACACCGAGAACTGCATATTGAAGACAAAGCATATGAAGATATTAGATGATTAAAAGCTGTTTATCCAGAAAATTACACCAAGCTTACTTCAATATCTCTCTGCTAGATCTGTTTTTCCTTTTCTGTTTTTCCCTTTCTGTTTTCTAGTGTCCAAATGGAGTTTCAAATCCCCATGGCATAGAGGAGAATTCTCTCAAAGTCGTATTTACGCTTCCATTCAGCTGTTTCTCTTACACAGCTTTGCTAGTTACACTTATGGGTATACGAAAATTATAGAGGCAAAGCAAATCATACCTCTCCAATAGCTCAAAGCTCAATCTCAAACCCAATAACAGCATATAATAGAAGCGATTGGTTCCAAAACCAATGCTGAAAATTAGAAAATTAGATAGAACATGGGGTGCAAGAACAAAACAAGAGAATTAAAAAACGAATAATCTGTACATTAGCCAGAAAACAAAAATGTTGTTCTTCTCACAATTTATTTGTACCGTCTCTCTAATACAGATGGAATCCACATGCATTGGTGGGTGCTACCTCTATTAGAGAAATAGTATCAATAATGGTACAATAGTAAGTGTAGCACTATTTGTAAAAAAATATGGGTTAAATTGAATAACGATTTGACAATACGAAACCAAAGAAAAGAACATACCGCAAAATGAATAGCCTTCTTGAAGCCATTGTTGGAACCAGGAGATTACTCTTCCTCGTTCCGAATCGACCCATTCGGCCCACCCGTCTTCGTCTTGGCATCGTAGGTCCCGGCATCGTACTACCCAATTTCACACCTCCAAAAACAATCAATCATAACTCTACCAAAATCTATACGAACAATGGCATGCAAACACTACATTTACAAAAAGAAATCAAAGGCCATTCTGTAAGTATGAAACAGTATGCAATAGTTCTGTTTGGCCGAGAAAACGCAAGAAAAGGAATAGGATTTTTCATTCATCGAAAATTTTATCAAACAAATAGAGAAAGAGAGAGAGCATATACCAAACGGAGCATATCGGAGCGTAGCTACAGCTGTAAATGCGAGAGCGAAGATCACTGCGAGCCTTGTCGATTTCCTTGAGGTACTCGACTGCGACTCAGAGTGAGGGAGAGGATTTGATTTGGGGCCAGCCTGATTGAAGATCTGAGAAGAAGGCGCCAAGTTTACCAAAAAAATTGATAACGGTAGAATATTTTCCATCTTAAGATGCGGCGTGCTAATTGAAATAAATTTTTTAGAGAGGGTATCCATTGGCGTCACAACATCATTTGCGACATTACTTGAAGCAGAGTTGCAAAAGTTTTCTCGCAAACACTTGCGCTCTGTTGCAAATAGAGTGTCGCAAAGAGTCTTTTTCTTGTAGTATAGTTGTTATTAAATAATAAGTCCACGCGTTGAGACGGAAACCAACTGTTTCAGGCGTAACTATATGAATAGCATCATTCTCTAGTGTTTAAGAGTATTCTCTATTAGCATGTTTACGAATTCTCTAGTATGTCCATCAAAAAGCAAATAAATTCGTACTTGGTGAAACAAACAATGTTTACTGATGCATTCAGACTAAGGACAGATAATAATCCACCAATAGAATTAGATCTAGGGAGTTTTAATGAAAAGGGTTTGGACTAACTTTTATTTAATGAAAAACCATCATAAACTATTATTTAATAAAAATGGCTTAAATTTTAATAATAAGGACTTGAAATTTAATCAAAAAGGACAAAAACTAAATACTCTAACGAAAAAACAAGCCCATGTGCAAAACCAAACTTTTTTTTTACAGGCGCTACCCCTGACGGAAGCCCCATTCCGTCAGTTAATGCCACTACCTTACCCAGTAAACACGAAAGTGATGATGGAGGATACGAAAGCCATTAGTATACATGCTGCAAATCCACATGTCAAAGCCCCACCAATTTGAAAGCAAAATCTTTGAAAATCTTGCTTTCAACAAATATAAGCAGCATGTATATGTGTCGCACCAAATGTGAAGTACATGCCATCTGTTCAGCAAATTTTTTAGCTTTTGTTATCATGAAACAAACTTTTCATTGGTATGCTCCAGTAAATTAATGCACATTAAATAAACGATCGAATAGACGCTTTGTGTTTTTGTTAAAATTAGATAGAGGAAATCTAAAAAACATCCCTTGGATGCTTTTTGTACTCAAATTCATATCTAAAATCATAACAAAACACCAAAATTTTATAAAAGAAATCTATTACGTTCCATATGGAGTAATTATGTTGTACCAACTGTTTAAATTGAGTTAATATTTGTTTAGACATAAGCTTTTAGGCTTTGATTGGATGACGTATTTGGGACCCATAAGCTGATGAGAGGTACTAATCTCATTTTCTTGTTAATTACTTATTTCAAATTAATGTTTGCATGTTTGTGATCCATAAACTTAGTAATGTTTATAACTCACATCAATGTTTATGATTATGTTTTTTTTTTTTTTGGAAACTAGTTTATGATTATGTTTGGTCTGAATTATGTTTAGAAGTCTCATGCAATTGCCTTGGATCTATCTCATTATAAAATTGAACTCATGTGTGTGTATAGTGTTCCGTTTGAGAAATAATCAGTGTTTAGTTTACGAAACAGTGATAATACTAGTGTTCTGTTTGAGAAATAATCAGTGTTTAGTTTATGAAACAGTGAATAATTAATGTTTAGTTTACGAAACAGTGATAGTACTAGTGTTCCGTTTGAGAAATAATCAGTGTTTAGTTTACGAAACAATGATAGTACTATTGTTCGTTTGATAAATAGTCACTGTTTAGTTTACGAAACAATGATAGTACTAGTGTTCCGTTTAAGAAATAGTCAGTGTTTAGTTTACGAAACAGTGATAGTAATAGTGTTCCGTTTAATAAATAATCAATGTTTAGTTTACGAAACAATGATAGTACTAATGTTCGTTTGATAAATAGTCACTGTTTAGTTTACGAAACAGTGATAGTACTAGTGTTCGTTAGATAAATAGTCAGTGTTTAGTTTACGAAACAATAATAGTACTAGTGTTCCGTTTAAGAAATAATCAATGTTTAGTTTACGAAACAGTGAAAGTATTAGTGTTCCGTTTGAGAAATAGTCAGTGTTTAGTTTACGAAACAGTGATAGTACTATTGTTCGTTTGATAAATAGTCAGTGTTTAGTTTACGAAATAGTGATAGTATTAGTGTTCGGTTTTAAAAATAGTCAGTATTTAGTTTACGAACTAGTGATACTACTAGTTTGATAAATAGTTCAGTTTGCTTTGGTAAAAAAGTGTGGTTTAGTTTGATAAATAGTTCAGTTTGTTTTGGTAAAAAAGTGTGGTTTTCTAGTTCATTTTGATAAATAGTTCAGTTTGTTTTGGTAAAAAAGTGTGGTTTAGTTTGATAAATAGTTCAATTTGTTTTGGTAAAAAAAGTGTGGTTTTCTAGTTCAGTTTGATAAATAGTTCAGTTTGCTTTGGTAAAAAATTGTGGTTTTCTAGTTCACTTTGATAAATAGTTTAGTTTGCTTTGATAAAAAAGTGTGGTTTAGTTTGATAAATAGTTCAGTTTGCTTTGGTAAAAAAAATGTGGTTTTCTAGTTCACTTTGATAAATAGTTTAGTTTGATAAATAGTTCAGTTTGCTTTTGTAAAAAAGTGTGGTTTTCTAGTTCACTTTGATAAATAGTTCAGTTTGATAAATAGTTCAGTTTGCTTTGATAAAAAAGTGTGGTTTAGTTTGATCAATAGTTCAGTTTGCTTTGGTAAAAAACTATGGTTTTCTAGTTCACTTTGATAAATAGTTTAGTTTGCTTTGGTAAAAAAATGTGGTTTAGTTTGATAAATAGTTCATTTTGATAAATAGTTCAGTTTGCTTTGGTAAAAATCAAAGCAATTAACTAAAGTAATCACAATTTCCTAACTTTTAATTTGAACACATCACAATTTCCAACACAATAATCCAAAATTAACTAAGCTAATCAGTTAAGTAAAAATCAGGAGTGCAGATCTTCGGCACCGAAAATCATATGTGGCCTCTCATTGGCTTCCCTCAAAATTTACACTTGTCCCTCAATTGATTCAATATAACACTGTTAACTATCCAAATAAAAACTCTGAAACAAAAAAAGGAAAATAGCAGCCCATTACCCAGTCTTCACCTACAAAGATAGAATCCCACATCAACAATGAAAAGAGGTCAAACCATATGGAAATTGGATGATTGTGATAAACTATTTAAGATGTATATGTACTAGAAAAGTAATTAAAAGAAATTTTCAGAGATAATTAGATAATAAAAACTCATTCCTCATATTAAAAAGGAGGTGCCAAATGAAGCACCTAACAAATTGAAAAGCAAAAGCATGAAGAAATAGCTCTGACCGTTTGTTCAAGCTCTTGACCTCCTCTTTTGTCATTTGCCCTCCAAGCCCAGTAGCTCCAGCTTCTGGAATGTAAAGAGAATGCAGGAATGTAAAGAGAAAACTTGTTATGAAATGGTCATATGGAATTTGTAAGCATATTTTGGCTATCAGTAGAGTCCACACCTGAGTGACTACAACCAACGTAGACTGAGAAAAGAATAATGGGTTGATCTCTCCAGATACTATTCGATAAATTTCGCCAAATCGTCAGACATTATCGTGGTTAATTGGAAATGCAAAATAAAATTAATAGAGTTTAGTAGATCTAAAGCATATAGATTCAGTAAACATAAGCTAGTTAGTAGTAAATTTGATTACTTTCGAGTGTACCAGAGAGAGAATACAAAGCAATGACTGCACAAGGTTATGCGAAATCGAATCACCTATGAAGGCCCATGATTTGATCCTCAAGGACTACACCAAACAAAAACACCGAAACAGGGGCATAAATAAAATAAAATACTTACAATTGTCATGTGTTTGGGAGTTATTTCCAGGAAAATCAACAATTTTAGAGTTTTGAATTTGAACAGGAAGTAAAGAAGAATCACAAACAGAAGAGGAGGAGGATTCTGTTTCTTGCACCGCTTCCTAAAGTCTACATCATCATTCAAGGCGGTTAAAAGATCCTAATACCTTTCAAAAACATCAAGCTCAGACTCTTCCTCTGAAGGAGACATTAAATCATCAATGAAAAATCCAAGATCCCAAAAAGCTCAAATCTAAATAATATAGCATAATTGTGGTACCTCTAATGGCAGGTCGGGGACCGTCCCGGACATCTCGAACTTCTCCTCGGCCTTGACCCCATCATGGATTGAAAGGGTGGCGTCACTATCATTGTCGACATTATATAATAAATGTCATCAGTGACTGGGTTTAATAAATGCATACCCAAAGCTTGGGCTTCGCTTCCCATGACGGAGGAAGAGGTGGATCTTGATATGGAAAATTACTTGATGAATGGGAGAATCATGGAATCAAGTCATATGGGATCTTGTTGATTTAATAGAGAAAAAGATCAGTGATTGGTTCATGAAATGAGAAAATAGCTGAGAGAAAATTAATATCAGATCCATAGAATCTTGTAGAAATTGTACAAAGGCTTTCTCTCTTCATCTGGAATGAAACAAACTAAATAAACGGAGCAACGTTTGCCGTTAAGGGTTAAATTAGAAATTCGTGCTTGGGCCAATCTTTCTTGGACTCATTTAATGTTGGGCTTTGTCCTAACCATTAAATAAAATTATAATGTGGTTTTTGGTTAAGATTTAAAGTTTTGGAGCCCTTATCATTAGTTTTCCTTTAGATTTATGCAATCAATTGAACATGTCAAGTAAAATCATATTCAGTTGAATCCAAACTATACCATGCTAAATAAAGACAGAAAAGGATACAACAGTAGAAACTTCTAAGAATAGACATAAAAGAATTTTATGATCTGAAAACTTCTAATAGGAAGAGAAAAGTTTAATGCACTCACAACATCCTCCATTGTGGTACGCCATCCTTGCATGGATGACAAACCATATCTAACACAGCCATTCTCACAAATTTCAGAGAACTTTTCAGTTTTAGGAGTGCTCAGATTGCACCCATTCTGATCTGAAACTAAATAAGAACTCAATCAAAAACTTTAATCCTACAATTCAATGCTGAAAAACTAAAGTAGCCAGAAACCAAAAGACACTTGTACGGACGTTACAAAAATACAGGACACGAAACACATTAAAACTTCTAGAAACTCGAAGGATATAATTCTCCTCTCCTTATATTCTTCCCCTTTCTCTAACCAAATAAAAATTCCCCAAAATATGCACAAAGTTTCTAAAAAAAAAAAACAATACAAAATTAATGCAAGCAAAGAAAAAGAAACGAAAGCTCTTATGTCTCTGTTAGTTTTTTAGTAACCAGCAATGAAATGTTTCA